TTTACAGCAGAGCTATTCAACCAAGTTTACACAGGGGCCAAAGGTGTTCCAAATGGGGGGTCGTCACGGGTCAGAGAAAAGATCATTAATACAATACACCTGGCAATGATCCGCGGGCCACTCGCTAGGCTTCCGCAGACCAGACCTAGCCCACTCATCATCAGCTGAATAGCCCTGCTGTACTGAATATTGCAGAACCAACCTCAACATATTTTCGCTGTCTGGTTTTATAAGAGTCGGCTCTGTGGCTAAATCAATGCGAATGCTTCGTATGGCCGGGTTCGATTCCAGCTGCGGGCCATGCACCTTGCTTTGGTTTCGACAGTGGTATCAAGAAAGCCAACGGTCAAGAAAGCAATGGCAAACTACTGGACATAAATTTGCCCTCAAAAACCACACAACAGCCAGGGGCTGTTGGGGTTGGTTCTGCAACGTCCTGTAAAGGATACACAACTAACTTCTGGTTTTTTTATAAGGCAATTTTTGCATTCATTAGTTTAGCTGTTTTCTTACTGAATGGTTAGCTCTCCGTACCATTTTCAATATCAACGCAAAGCGGTTGGCAGCCACATCTCTCACAGCCAACTGAACAAAACAATAATTACCAGTAACAATATGTGACTAAGCAGCATTAACTACCATACACAAAGGACAGCTGTACAGCTAACATACGCACAAGCAAACAAAATGTCAGGGCTGGCTCCTGATATGAAAAGTTGGGTGCCATTAATTCCTAGCATTCTCAGTTTTCCAGTGATTGTCAACAGTACATTATCCAGTTTATCAACAGTACACCGATGAGTCTGTCAACAGTATACTGTCCAGACTATCAACAGTACAGTGACTAGTCTATGATCAGTGCATTATCCAATCTATCATCAGTACAGTGACTAGTCTATGATCAGTGAATTACCCAAGCTATACAGTGAACAGTCTATGATCAGTGCATTATCTAATAAATTAACAGTACAGTGACTAGTCTATGATCAGTGAATTACCCAAGCTATACAGTGAACAGTCTATGATCAGTGCATTATCTAATATATTACCAGTACAGTGTCTAGTCTATGATCAGTGGATTGTCTAATATATCAACAGTACAGTGTCTAGTTTATGATCAGTGCATTATCCAATTTTCAACAGTACAGTGAACAGTTTATGATAAGTGCATTATCCAATTTTCAACATTATAGTGAACAGTCTATAATAAGTGCATTACCCAATCTATAGTGAATAGTCTATGATCAGTGCATTACCCAATCTATCAACAGTACAGTGACTAGTCTATCAACAGAACAGTGACTAGTCTATCAACAGAGCATTGAAAACATGAACAAAGATTATGTTGTACATGCTCACACAAAGAATGCTAATACCAACAATAATTATACTCAATGAGTACATGCATGCATACAGATGCATCAGCAGTGGCCTCTTCTTCTGTTTCATCTGGGTTCACCCTTAAAAAGGCCATTGTATTGTGGTTTACAGATAGGCTGCGATATCTTGCCTTTCAGCCCAACACATCTGATTTTGACATATTTCAAATCAGTCACCACTTTAGACATATTTGTTAACTCTTTGAGTCCTAAAGAATGCATGCTGTGTGAATCAACTCTGCTTAACCCTGTCCCTAGCTTAATATTTTCTTTTACTGTTTGTATTAGGTCAGAGCACATTCAAGAAATCTGGTTTATCCAATGGTCCCCACTACTGTTATCTTACTGTTTTGAAAGTAATGCATGGATGAATTCTAATCACAGATATTTATCCAATTGGTGTCTTCTACAAAACCTTCTTTTGGTAATGAAAGGGTTAAGAGTCAGTGGGCCACACCCCCCCCCCCCCCCCCCCCAACTTTGAATCCATATGGTTAGATGTTTGATCATTAACTCTTTGAGTCCCACGAGGTTTAGCATCACAGGCCCAGGGGGCAGTAAAGAGAGTCATAAAATCGACGCATTGTGCGTTCATTGGGCTTCTAGGTAGGAACCTATGAACGTATGATACATTCCTTGGGGCTCAAAGAGTTAACGTCTTGGCACCTTTTTTGTCTTTCCAGATGAAAGTGTCACAATGTGCTAGGGGAAGGCATGAGAATCACTCGCCACGATGATGGTGTGTGTGACTAGCAAGATCTGTCTGTGTTAAGAAAAGCCTACCTCAATGAGAGCATGGGATTTCAGGACCGTTATTTAGTGTGATTCTTCTGAGACGCTCAGCTCTCAACCCTCTGTGAAACCATTTTCTCCTTTATTACCCCCCTCTCCCCCCCCCCCCCCCCCCCCCCGTAACATGGTCCACAGCATTTTGTTCCCAGGAATCTACCTCAACAGCTATCATCAATACTAGTTATTTGTAAAGGACCCTTTTCCAACACTTTCAGACGTATTGAGTATATAGAGCTAGACCTATATTTTATAGACCATACGGCACTTGGTGGGTGATGTGGTCAGCATCACGCCAGCCACTTTTACTTCCCAAGACGGTGCCATGTACCCACTCAAGGCTGGGTCAACCAGGTAGCCAAGGTCATTTTAAAAAAAAGTCTGGTGCCTGCCAGGAACCGAACCCACGACCTTTCAATCCCCAGGCGAGTGTCTAGCCGCTAGAATACTAGTTATATAAATATATAAACACCAGCACCAAATATGTGATGCTGTAGATAAATACATATACACGTGACAGCACCAACATTAGATATGTTGTAGATACAATATGGATGAAATATACATAAGTAGTAGCATCAATCCTTGTTACGAAGTATACATACACACAAGCCGTTACCAACAATGGTATCTGATACACACATATATGCACATACGTATAAGTTCCAAGACTGACTAGGTTGCTGCAATCCAATTGTTAGTTTTCCTCGCAGCAAAATGTTACCTACACAATGTACTTCACCAACATCTGGTACCTGCAGCAGCAAGGACTGAAACAACATTGGTATACGCAAAGGCTATACCATCACTGGCACGTTCTGCAGCAAGGACTGTACCAAACTTCAGTACATTTTATAGCAGGGATTACACCAACATTGGTATATCCTGAGGCAGGGATTACACCAACATTGGTATATCCTGAGGCAGGGATTACACCAACATTGGTACATTCTGAGGCAAGGATTACACCAACATTGGTATATTCTGTGGCAAGGATTAAACCAACAGTGGAATATTCTGTGGCAAGGATTATGCCAACATTGGTATATTCTGTGGCAAGGATTACACCAACAGTGGTATATTCCGTGGCAAGTATTACACCAACATTGGTATATTCTGTGGCAAGGATTAAACCAACAGTGGAACATTCTGTGGCAAGGATTACACCAACATTGGTACATTTGGTAGCAAGGATTGCAAAAACATTGGCACATTTTGTAGCAAAAATATTATCAACTTCATTCAATCCATAAGCAAAGATAATTCTGATTCATTTTGCAGCAAAGAGTGCATTATCTTTGGTTCATTTTGTAAATAATTATTTTATTCATTTTGTAAAAAAGGATTGTACCAACATTTGTAAGCAAAGATTGTGCCATGCTCGATTATGCTCTAAGCAATGACTGTACAATCTTTTGTCTCCATCAAAAAGCAATGATTGTATAATCTTTTTCCAATCTGATACACGCAGCATAATACACAACAGTGACTGCTCCAAAATCATTTTCTACAAAATGTCACTAAGTACGGAAGACAGCAGTTTTAGCTCCAACATTGCACGGCTCATTTCTAACGCTACAAATGCACAATGCCAGTTATATTACTGACATGGGCTTGCTTGTTGGCAGGTAGTTTCATAACTGGATGATGGGCTTGTCTGTTGGTAGGTAGTTAATTACTGGTAGGTGGGCTTGCTTGTTGGTTGGCATGTAGCTAAAATTACTGACGTGGGTTTGTGTATGGCATGTAGTTATATACTTGGATGATGGGCTTGCCAGCTGGCATACAGTTATACTACTGAAATGTGGGCTTGCTAGCTGGCATACAGTTAAACTACTGGAAGACTGGCTTGCTAGATGGCATACAGTTAAACTACTGAAAGGCTGGCTGGCTAGCTGGCATAGTTATACTACTGAAATGTGGGCTTGCTAGCTGGCATACAGTTATACTACTAGAACGTGGGCTTGCTTGTTGTCAGGTAGTTATATTACTGGAAGGTGGGCTTCCTTGTTGGCCTGTAGTTATACTATTGGAAGGCTGGCTGTCTAGCTGGCATACAGTTATACTACTGGAAGGTGGGCTTGCTAGCTGGCATACAGTTATACTACTAGAAGGCTGACTTGCTTGTTGGCATAAAGTTACATTACTGGAAGGTAGGCTTGCTTGTTGGCATATAGTTACATTACTGGAAGGTGGGCTTGTTTGTTAACATGTAGTTATACTACTGGAAGGTGGGCTTGCTTGTTATCATAAAGTTACATTACTGGAAGGTGGGCTTGCCAGTTAGCATATAGTTACATCACTAAAAGGTGGTCTTGCCTGTTGACAGATAGTTACGTCACTGGAAGGTGGTCTTGCCTGTTGACAGATAGTTACATTAGTGAAAGGTGGGCTTGCCTGTTGACAGATAGTTACATTACTGGAAGGTGGGCTTGCCTGTTGACAGATAGTTACATTGCTGGAAGGCGGGCTTGCTTGTTGGCATGTAGTTACATTTCCTGAGGGTGGGCTTGCTAGCTTGCATAAAGTTATATTACTTGAAGGTGGGCTTGTTTGTTGGCATTTAGTTATATTACTGAAAGGTGGGCTTGCCTGTTAGCATACAGTTACATTACTGGAAGGTGGGCTTGCCTGTTAGCATATAGTTATATTACTGGATGGTGTGCGCTGCTTACTAGTAAATAGTTGTAATGCTGGAAGAAGCGCTTGATGGTTGACATATTATTACATTACAGATAGGGACTTGCTTACTGGCGTATAGTTATGTTACTGGATGGTGGGCTTACGTGTTGGCATACACTTACATTACTAATGGTGGGCTTGCTTGTTATTTCACAGTAAGGTGGGCTTGCGAGATTTGACAGCACTAGAAGCACTGCTGCTGTTACTTGTGATAACATGATTGTTGCCGTTCTTGATGCTGTCACATTTGACCCTTGAACTTACAGATCGAACTCCTTCCCTGTGCCCGCCCCTTAGGAAGTCACTCTTAAAGAGTCTCCAGAAGAGAATCACATTGACAATGTCCATGAAGAAAGTGGTCGACGAGATTCCTATATAGTACAAGGTGGACACCTTCTGCCTCCACATGATACAAGCTCCGGTGATCACTACCAGAGCTCCGCCCCGAAAGATGAGAAAGGAGATAATGTTCAGATACTTGATGATGATGTACCCGGGGCTGTCAAAGGGCATCTTCATCATCTGCAGCAGTTTCCGCCAGTGCAGGAAGACTGAGTTGAGTTCCACAGACAAGGCAATGATGTTCATGCCAATGTTGGACTTGATGCAGATGTTGTAGTAGAACATTCCAGCAATCTGTTGGAGAAGAAGGTTCTGGTGATCATAAGGCATGGCTAATATCAGATTTACTTCAGGGAACCATGAGGGTATGGATAACATGAGGTTAATTACAGAGAACCATGAGGGCATAGATAACATAAGGTTAATTACAGTCTACCATGAGGGCATGGATAACATGAGGTTAATTACAGGGTACCATGAGGGCATGGATGACATCAGGTTAATTACAGGGAACCATGAGGGCATGGATTTCATAAGGTTAATTACAGGGAACCATGAGGGTATGGATAACATGAGGTTAATTACAGAGAACCATGAGGGCATGGATAACATAAGGTTAATTACGGTCTACCATGAGGGCATGGATAACCTGAGGTTAATTACAGGGTACCATGAGGGCATGGATAACATGAGGTTAATTACAGGGAACCATGAGAGTGTGGATAACATCAGGTTAATTACAGGGAACCATGAGAGCATGGATAACATGAGGTTAATTACAGGGAACCATGAGGGTATGGATAACATGAGGTTAATTACAGAGAACCATGAGGGCATGGATAACATAAGGTTAATTACAGTCTACCATGAGGGCATGGATAACATGAGGTTAATTACAGGGTACCATGAGGGCATGGATAACATCAGGTTAATTACAGGGAACCATGAGGGCATGGATTACATGAGGTTAATTATAGGGAACCATGAGGGCATGGATTACATGAGGTTAATTACAGGGAACCATGAGGGTATGGATAACATGAGGTTAATTACAGAGAACCATGAGGGCATGGATAACATAAGGTTAATTACAGTCTACCATGAGGGCATGGATAACATGAGGTTAATTACAGGGTACCATGAGGGCATGGATAACATCAGGTTAATTACAGGGAACCATGAGGGCATGGATTACATGAGGTTAATTATAGGGAACCATGAGGGCATGGATTACATGAGGTTAATTATAGGGAACCATGAGGGCGTGGATTACATGAGGTTAATTACAGGGAACCATGAGAGCATGGATAACATGAGGTTAATTACAGGGTACCATGAGGGCATGGATAACATGAGGTTAATTACAGGGAACCATGAGAGCATGGATAACATGAGGTTAATTACAGGGAACCATGAGGGTATGGATAACATGAGGTTAATTACAGGGTACCATGAGGGCATGGATAACATCAGGTTAATTACAGGGAACCATGAGGACATGGATAACATGAGGTTAATTACAGGGTACCATGAGGGCATGGATAACATCAGGTTAATTACAGGGAACCATGAGGGCATGGATTACATGAGGTTAATTACAGGGAACCATGAGGGCATGGATTACATGAGGTTAATTATAGGGAACCATGAGGGCATGGATTACATGAGGTTAATTACAGGGAACCATGAGGGTATGGATAACATGAGGTTAATTACAGAGAACCATGAGGGCATGGATAACATGAGGTTAATTACAGTCTACCATGAGGGCATGGATAACATGAGGTTAATTACAGGGTACCATGAGGGCATGGATAACATCAGGTTAATTACAGGGAACCATGAGGGCATGGATTACATGAGGTTAATTATAGGGAACCATGAGGGCATGGATTACATGAGGTTAATTATAGGGAACCATGAGGGCGTGGATTACATGAGGTTAATTACAGGGAACCATGAGAGCATGGATAACATGAGGTTAATTACAGGGTACCATGAGGGCATGGATAACATGAGGTTAATTACAGGGAACCATGAGAGCATGGATAACATGAGGTTAATTACAGGGTACCATGAGGGCATGGATAACATCAGGTTAATTACAGGGAACCATGAGGACATGGATAACATGAGGTTAATTACAGGGTACCATGAGGGCATGGATAACATGAGGTTAATTACAAGGAACCATGAGGGCATGGATTACATGAGGTTAATTACAGGGTACCATGAGGGCATGGATAACATGAGGTTAATTACAGGGTACCATGAGGGCATGGATAACATGAGGTTAATTACAAGGAACCATGAGGGCATGGATAACATGAGGTTAATTACAGGGAACCATGAGGACATGGATAACATGAGGTTAATTACAGGGTACCATGAGGGCATGGATAACATCAGGTTAATTACAGGGAACCATGAGGACATGGATAACATGAGGTTAATTACAGGGTACCATGAGGGCATGGATAACATGAGGTTAATTACAAGGAACCATGAGGGCATGGATAACATGAGGTTAATTACAGGGAACCATGAGGGCGTGGATAACATGAGGTTAATTACAGGTAACCATGCAGGTATGGATAAGATTAATTACAGGATCCCATGAGGTTAATTAGAGGGAACCATGAGGGCATGGATAACATGAGGTTAATTAGAGGGAACTATGAGGGTATGGATAACATCAGGTTAATTACAGGGAACCATGAGGGTATGGATAACATGAGATTAATTACAGGGAACCATGAGGGCATGGATAACATCAGGATAATTATAGGGAACCATGAGGGCATAGATAACATGAGGTTGACCACAACTTCAGAGAACCATCGATATAAGAATAATGTTTTCAAGGTACCTGTTTAAGGCTAAGTTGACATGGTAGCAAAGGTCATTTTTAGAAAGAAAAAAAAAATGCTAGATTTTTTAAAAATTGGAACCCATGTCTTTCAGATCTGCAGGTAAGCATCTAGCTGCTACACCATAGCAGTTTCCAAAAGCAAGGATGCATTAAGTTAACTTCAGTTTCAGGGAACCATCAACATGACAATAGCAAGGATAGCATCAACTTTAATTTCAGTTATAGGGAACATGAGAATAGCAATGTAACTAGAGGTACAGAAACAAACTGACAATATTTTCAGAATAACAACAGCAGTCAAACTGAAAGTATACATAAATACTGCAAGATAATGAGAACAAAAAAGCAGTCTGTGTAGAAGTGTAGAGAAATACTGACAAAATCACGAGAATATCAAATGAGGTTTCTCTAATAAGAAATACAAGATATTGAGAATAACAAAGGCAGTTAATCTAACTGTATAAATACTGGCAAAAAAATAAAAACAATAAAAGCAGTCACTCTAGAAGTACTGACATGATAATGATAATAAATAACATTAACAGTTTATGTCAATGTTTAAAGAAACACCTATAAAACAATGAGAAACATAATAGCAGTCTAGAAGTATTGAGAAATACTGACATGATAGTGGAAACATGAACATTATACGGATAGCTCACCTTTATGAGGATAGCATACCTACATGAGGATAGCTTACCCACACGAGGATAGCTTACCCACATGAGGATAGCTTACCTACACAAGGATAGCTTACCTACATGAGGATAGCTTACCTACACAAGGATAGCTTACCCACACGAGGACAGCTTACCTACACAAGGATAGCTTACCTACATGAGGATAGCTTACCTACACAAGGATAGCTTACCTACATGAGGATAGCTTACCTACATGAGGATAGCTTGCCTACATGAGGATAGCTTACCTACATGAGGAAAACTTACCTACATAAGGATAGCTTACCTACAGGAGGATAGCTTACCTTCATGAGGATAGCTTACCTACATGAGGAAAACTTACCTACAGGATGATAGCTTACCTATTTGAGGAAAACTTACCTAAGTGAGGATAACTTACATGAGGAAAACTTACCTACAGGATGATAGCTTACCTATTTGAGGAAAACTTACCTAAGTTAGGATAACTTACATGAGGAAAACTTACCAACATGAGTACAGCTTACCTACATGAGGATAGCTTACCTACATGAGGACAGCTTACCCACATGAGGATAGCTTACCTACATGAGGATAGCTTGCCTACATGAGGATAGCTTACCTACATGAGGATAGCTTGCCTACATGAGGATAGCTTACCTACACAAGGATAGCTTACCTACATGAGGATAGCTTGCCTACATGAGGATAGCTTACCTACATGAGGATAGCTTGCCTACATGAGGATAGCTTACCCACATGAGGATAGCTTACCCACATGAGGATAGCTTACCTACATGAGTTTAGCTTACCCACACGAGGATAGCTTACCTACATGAGGAAAACTTATCTACAGGATGACAGCTTACCTATTTAAGGAAAACTTACCTACATGAGGATAAATTACCTACATGAGGACAGCTTACCTTCATGAGGATAGCTTACCTACATGAGGATAGTTTACCTACACAAGGATAGCTTACCTACACGAGGATAGCTTACCTACATGAGGATAGTTTACCTACATGAGGATAGCTTACCTACACGAGGATAGCTTACCTACATGAAGAAAACTTACCTACATGAGGATAGCTTACCTACATGAGGACAGCTTACCTACATGAGGAAAACTTACCTACATGAGTATAGCTTTCCTACATGAGGAAAACTTACCTACATAAGGAAAACTTACCTACATGAGTATAGCTTACCTACATGAGTATAGCTTACTTACATGAGGAAAACTTACCTACATGAGTATAGCTTACCTACATGAGGAAAACTTACCTACATGAGTATAGCTTACCTACATAAAGATAACTTATTTACATGAAGATAAGCTTACCTACATGAGGACAGCATCAACAAGACATAAATTAAATTGATGGGATAATGAGAAGCATATGATTGGAATAACAAGAAATAAATGAATCCTTTTAAAGTACTTAGGCAGGAACCAACAATATTTAGCACATGTAAGTAATTCTGAGCAGCTTTGGTTATAACTGCGGTCTTCCCGTGTGGATTCTGGTATCACTATATGGGAAAAACAAGAATAAACCCACTGCCTTCCATGAAAACAGGTCGTAGGAGTCAACTAATTGTCAGAAAGTCAGAATACATTTGCCTGAGAGGTAAGTAACCAACAGTCTGCATAAAGATAAGCCACATTTGTAAAATGTATGTGCAAGCAACAACCAGGTTCAAAAAGACTAAAACCAGAGATGGGTGAACACACAGAACTTTCCTCCGCAACTTACAGCTGTGAACACGAAGAAGAACAATAAGATGAATAGTTTTTATGCCCTTATAAATGGCTAGGCGTCTCTGCTAGTGTGTCCTGCTGTCCATCTTAGCATGTCTGATGTAAGAACTTAGGTAGCAATCATCAAAAACAAGTACTTGTAAGCGACTGGATCTAACTTGTAGAATGAAATCAAATGCAGCGATGGCTAAGTGGTTCATAAAGGCAATGGTAAGTTTTACGTCAGCGAATCCTGACTTCTGAAACAGGAGAGTGACAACTTACTCCTATATGATGCACTGTCAGTTCCCACATGGAGAACATCTTATTGTTGACGACCAGGTCCAAGAAGTCATACACAAAGTAACCTGAAACATGGGCAACAACTTTCAGACATGGTTATCAAATTTTATAAACACAGGTGTAAGGGGTAACACAGGTGTAAGAGGTAACACAGATGTAAAGAGTAACATAGGTGTAAATGGTAACAGGTAACAAAGATGTAATGGATCACACAGATGTAAAGGGTAGCACAGATGTAAGGGGTGACACAGATGTAAGGGGGTGACACAGATGTAAGGGGGTGACACAGATGTCAGGGGTAAGACAAATGTAATGGGTAATACAGGTGTAAGGAGTAACACAGATGTAAGGGGTAAAGAGGTTATAATGATGTTACTGATCACACAGATGTAGGGGTTGACACAGATATAAGGAGTAACACAGATGTAAGGGATAACATAACTGTAATGGGAAACATGTATGTAATATGTAACACAGATGTAATGGGAAACATATATGTAATGCATGACACAGATGTAACGGGTAACACAGATGTTATCAGCAACAGATATAACATATAATATACAAAAAACCAGTAAAATAGCTGTAACAGAATCAAACCACATACAAATCAATGTTTATACAAAGCAACAGCAAGCATAAAATCAAGTTAACTTCTGTTACAGGGAACCATCAATGAGAGAATAACAAGGATCAAGTTAACTTCAGTTACAGGGAACCATCAGTGAGAGAATAAAAAGGATCAAGTAAACTTCAGTTACAGGGAACCATCAGTGAGAGAATAAAAAGGATCAAGTAAACTTCAGTTACAGGGAACCATCAGTGAGAGAATAACAAGGATCAAGTTAACTTCAGTTACAGGGAACCATCAGTGAGAGAATAACAAAGATCAAGTTAACTTCAGTTACAGGGAACCATCAGTGAGAGAATGACAATTATCAAGTAAACTTCAGTTACAGGGAACCATCAGTGAGAGAATAACAAAGATCAAGTTAACTTCAGTTACAGGGAACTATCAGTGAGAGAATAACAAGGATCAAGTTAACTTCAGTTACAGGGAACCATCAGTGAGAGAATAACAAGGATCAAGTTAACTTCTGTTTCAGAGAACCATCTACATAGCAATGTGAATAATAACAATAAGTTAACAACAAATATTTACTGTTTATGTTCAAACAAGTGTATGTGCGCATGTGTGTAGGGGGGCGGTAATGAACACTACAAAAAAATACCTCAGATTTAATTGCTTGTGATAGATTTTCGATGTTTAGGTGAGACATTTTATTTTACATGCTTCTCTGCAAGACAGCATGCACAGCCAGGGGCAGGGCAGTGGGAGGGAGGATTAAGACATGTCTGTGAATGGGATGTGGCAGGGATAACAAGACATACAACGTAGTCTAAATTCTCCTTCTTGCGTTCACCGGTTGTAATACCTGGCAGAAAGTTCTGGTTGACCATCCACTTCAAGTCTACAGTCTTGCTCCAGAACTTGAGTTTGGGTGTATATTCCTTTTACACATCTGATTAATGTGTATGCAGACTGTTGGTTCCTTGCCTCTCATGCACTCTGACCTCAAAGGACACAACCCTAATTAGTCACCTTCTACAACACGCATGTTAGTAAAACAGTGTGTCTACTGCTCCCCCCCTCCCCAAAATGGGGTCCCAGAACCCACACTGGGGAAACCTAGTCTCTGACAAGGTAGAATAAGATGATTCGACTTTATCATAGGAAGGCAAGACCCCAGCCCCAGCAGGGGGTGAGATCATTTACAGTCAGGACAACCAAAGCCACGATGACTTCCTCTATTGACACACCCCAATCTGTCAGACACCTAGGGACATGCCGACCTTATCTGTTGACAGGCTCCAATTAGCTAACTAGGCTTCCCGCTGACTTCATCTACCGACAAGTCTCAGACAGCTAACGAGGCCTCTGTTGACTTACACATTCCACGCAGATTGTGCTCAGGGATAGCTCATCTACTTGTAATTATGTCGACAGCCTGTCCTGGTCACAGCTGTGTGCACCCCTGTTTAATGTCATGTTCAGGTTTTGTTTAACCGCATGTGCAATCTCTTACGTAAAGTCAGGCTTGAATTTGTTTAACCTCAAGTTTAATGTGAAGTGCACCCTTGTGTTTAACCTCAACCTCATGTTTAACCTCAACCTCATGTTTAGCCTAAACCTTTTTATCACACCACTTTGGTTTAACTGTATGTCTGACATTAGGTTCACCCTCATGTTAAATATCATGTTCAACTCCCTGTGTAGATTTTGGGACCCTAATGGAGGGGGAGGGGGTGTATGCGTGTGAGGTTCAATCTCAGCCGCAGGTGGTTTAGCAGCAGACCATCTTGACAGTGTTATTGAGCGGCATCTTTTCAAAAGGCAAGGGCAAACTGCTAAGCGTAAATTTGCCTAGAAAAACCGCAATATCCAAAAAAATGCTGGGGTTGGTTCTGCAAGGTCCTGTAAAGGACACATAACTAGCCTTTTCATTAAGGGGGCAGTGGATGTATTCTCTACCCCCTTCCCCCTTTTTCACAAAAAATGAGGCCCTGGAGGCCACACAAGGAATGACCTAAAATAGATGGGGTGACATCACAAACACACTTACCAGTGGAGAAACACACACAATAGAAGGTCAAGTGACTAATGTGTTGCAGCAGGTCACAGTACAGTTCTGGGTACACAACTGTGCTGAAAAGTCAATACAAATGATCTCTTTTAAATCTGTAGGGATAAACACAATTTTTGTATTCTACATCAGCGTTCATAACTCTGAAATGCTTAGTTCGAATCCAGCTGCAGGAAATCTGAAAGCAGACTGCTTTGTGTTGTTTTTGACAGTAGTATTGAGCACTGACCGTACAGCAAGCAATGGCAAACTCATCATCAATCAGTAGGTCCTTTACCAAACACTGCTCTAGTTAATGGCACACCTCAGTGTCTCTTTTTCTCTAGCCAATTCTCCAGCCTTATGTGCTTTCAAAGCCAATGTGTCTTCAATGTCTTGTATCCACGTTTTGAAAGATGTCTTTGCCTCATCTTCCGGAAGCTGTACCCTCCATCACAACTCTCTGCAGGCCAACATGACATTTAACATAGTAAAATACCAAAGCTTTCAGGACAGGATGCTGTTTATGAGCCAATTCTCCTCGATACTCAGATCATGGCAAACTACTGAACTGTGTAATAAAATTACAAACAGCCCCCCCCCCCCTCGCCAAAATGCTGGAGTTCATTCTACAACATCCTCCCTGTGTGGATTCCGAGTTCCCTCTGTGGATTCCAAGTTCCTTCTGTGGATTCCAAGTTCCCTCTGTGGATTCCAAGTTCCCTCTGTGGATTCCAAGTTCCCACTGTGGGGAAAACAAGTATAGACTCACTGCCTACCCCAAAAAAAATGCATGCTGTAGGAGTCGACTAACTGGGAGCTTGCTTCAAAGTCAGAGTGCATCTGCCCGAATGGCAAGGAGCAACCAACTGCACAAAAACAAGCCAGTAAAATGAATGTAAGAATCAGGCCCTGGCACAAAGCCAAAGTCCAAAAAGACGAACAACCAGGACCTTCCGCTGGAGCTTACAGCAGGTGAACAGAGAAGAAAGAAAAAAATTCTGTAACATCCTGTAAAGAATAAGCAACTTACTTTATTATTAGGGTTTGAAACAGAAAAAAAAAGTGATATTGCAAGGAAGTCAGGAACAGAAGTAAGTAATATCTGACATGGTACAAACAAAATTAGGGCGCTGTGTGGTCTTGAGGCATTGTGTCCGCCTCGAGTGCTAGAGGTTCCAGGTTCAATCCCCGGTAAGGGCTGGAATTTTTTTTCAAGTAGACTTGGACGTTTAGTAATTCCCCCTGGTCTCTGGGTAGTGAGATAGGACGTCCATGTGCATTGTTGTGCACGTAAACAAATCTCTTGGCAGTTGGAAATCGAAAAGAGTAGCTTAACGATGCTGCCCGCGCAAAATTTGGAGTTAAAAATCAACCCAAACTATTTCAGGATCATCTCTGGTGCTACAGAACCTGTGCACTGTGGTGAGCTTCTTTGGACTTTTTGAACGTGAGTTAGAAGTAGAACGGAGCACATATGGGTTACTCCCCGTGTGCCATGATAATGATCCATTGTTTAAAACCTCAAATAAAGTTATTGTTTGCTTTGTGAATGAGCCCCTAAATCATCCCCTACCACAAATCTAACTACGACTGCAAGATTCCTTATATATTCAGTTGTAAGAGTAGCCTCATGTGGTAATTTATTAATGTTTCTTCATGCAAGAAATAACTGACAATATTATATGAGGGGCATTCTCAAAGTAATGTCAAATGTCTAGAATGTACTGGCAATATAACATTATATTCTTTTATCATCATCATCATGCCTCATGTTCAAAAGTGTACGCTGTCATGTTTTGCCTTTTGAAATGATCATCATAATCATGGATCAAGTCAGTGTTCTTGTCTTGACACAGTCATTTAGCCAAGCCATCCAGGTTTTATGCCCTTTTTTTCACAGCATGAATATCATCCTCAGTTCTGTCTCTTCACATTTTACAGATAAAACTTCCTGAATCAAGCAACACATGGCATCGCAACAGATTATACAACTTCCATACACTGAATACACATATTTGTAAATGTTCAAGACACATTTCTTTTTACTGTAATCAAAACCTTTACAACAGTTCATGCATGTTAAGTGCACTGTTTTTTTTTTTCTGGAAGGAAGGAGTTGCCATTTTGTATATACAGTACTGTCATTCCTAAAGTGAAGTAGATAAAATGCTTTTTCTTCATTATTCACCGGGGAAAAAATGTGCAATTACAAAGTAATGCTCTTTGTACAAGCCACAACTTCAGTGTTGCAAAGGGAGGCCACATAATTTGCCCTTTTATTCCTACATTTACTGGAATGGAAAGCCACCACGGTGTGGCGGCTAGATGCTTGCCTGCAGATCGGAAGATTGTAGGTTTGGGTTCTAAAGCAGCCAAACATACCCCCCACCCAAAAAAATTACCTTGGCTCTAAGGCCAACCCAGTCTTTTTGGCGTACCAGGTACAGTCCTGGAAATTAAAGGCAGCCAGCATGATGCTGACCACATCACCCACCCAGTGCCAATTGGTCTATTAAATTTAGGTCTCGATGCCATCTGGAACCATACCACTTGCTATTTTCAGAATGTACAGATCATAACATAAACCACTCTGGAGCACAGTAAAAAATCCACTCTAAATTAAATCTGCAGCTCATGGTGTCACAACATGCATTCAACTCAGTAGCTGAGCGACAAAACTATATCCTTCGAGTCTACATATGGAGGGAAATGCAATGATGAATTACTGCCAGAAGCAAAACTTGCCATGAATAAAAACAATAAGCTGGTCTATCCACCATACAGAATAGAAGCTGTAAACAATATGCAAACAAAGTAGGTTACTAAAGCTGTGAAAAGTAGGCAAATTAGTGGGGACTCATCATCAGGGTCGTGCTGCGCTATGATACAGAGATGTGGCTGCATCAGGCAGCACCGTAAGGGGGCCAGCATAAACAGTAAAATCAAAATACAATTTGAACTTTTCATTTGACAGCGCAAAGCTAATAGGGGGAGGTAGTTTGAAAACTTGCATCATACTGAAACAATCTACTACATGAGACTGATCATCCATCATATCAATCCTGGCAGATCCACAGGTGCTCTGATCTCCTCAGTAAGTAGCAAATAAGGTAGACCACTGAGACTATAAACAGTAAGATTAAACAAACAGGGTAAACTAAGCTAAATTTGTAAGCAGTAAACTAATAAGATACAAATAGGATAAACTAAACTAAATCTGTAGCAGTAAACTAATAAGATAAGACTACCAAAGCTATAAACAAAGTATACTTGGAAAGTCCAAGCAGATACCCTGGAGTACTAAAGTGAATCTTATCAGAACTTTTTTTTGGCCAACACCCTAATACCAGTGCCAAACGTGGACACTTATATCCATCCTCCAATGAACGCAAAATTGTGAGCCACACTAAAATTTTACAACGGGTATAGAGTGAGGGGAAGACCTCAGAAAAGATGAAGTGATGGCAATAAGTCATTTAGAATGTGAATAGCCTTAGAGAAATGAACGTTAGTCTTAACAGTGCTCTTGACAGAGCTTATTAACGAATGTTACAACTTCCCCCGACACTTCACTGAGTTACAAGGTGAAAGAGAAGAAGAACTTGGAAAGATAAACAAGGTAGAGAACTGAGACTGACACTGTAAACAAATAAGACAGACTACTATTGAACATTTAAACAAAGTAGACTTGTGAAGTTATCTTCAAAGATAGAAGTAGAGGATTGAGACTGAACCTGCCAACAAGCAAGACTGACTACTACTGTAACCTACTGAAGCTACAAACAGAAAACAAACACAGCAGACAAATAAAGATGTAAACAGTAAACAAACACAACACTGAAACAAGTTAGATGACTGATTAACATTAATATTTTCTGATCAACTGTAAAAGTAAAACAAGTAAGCAGTAAATGAACAAGGCAGACTACAGAAGCTGTTAACCAGGGCATTTGTCTGCAGGTACGCAGTACCGGCACCTGTTCTGAGGCATCATCTCATTTTCAGCCTACTCAACTAGTGACACTTTGTGGTGAGTACTGGCAGGCAGCTGTGAGTGTGTATAGTGTATACCTTGTTTTTAAAAGGAAAAATCTTGCTGTAAACCAAAAGGAAGGCAGACTACTGAAGCAGTAAACAAACAAGGTAGATGTTTGAAGCTGTAAAACAAACAAGGTTGATGACCATGACAGAAGTAACAAACAAACAAAAACAGACCACAAACAAACTCACCATGCAATCACCCACAAGGACGCGATCATCGCATGGACCCACGAAACGACCAGGTTCCTCCATTTCCACTCATCGTCTGTTACCGATTTCGGTGGGCCGTAGGATTTCACTAACAAATTAACCAGCTGGAAAAACAGGACAGAGGCGACTATTAAGTACTGTCCGTGTGTGACAGAGACTGCTTCTCTGAGCTGAGAGAAGTCTTCTTGTTCAAGGGCCAGCAGATTGGGACTGGTCGTCTCGTTGCCGGCCGCCATTGTTGTTTTCTGTAGTCATGTGAGGAATACAGACTGCGAGTACACCAGGATTCGATACTGACAGACTGTCATCCCCATCATAATCATCACCATTATCACCAGGTCATCAAAACCTGTGATCAAAACAAACTGGTCACCCCATAGTTCCCTTCTGTGCCAACAAAAACGACAAAAATGTCCTTTACATGATCACCGTCACTTGTAGAAATACACAAACTGTAACTGTAAGCCAATAGTGTACATTATCAGCATCAGGTGCCTTGCCGACTGGCGTCGACGATCATAAATCCACAATCTGCGATCCGCAGCTGCGTGTTTCCCCGTGTGGGTTCTGTGGTCACATTGTGTGAAGAACAAGAATAGACCCACTGCCTACCTAACAAGCACGCCGCAAAAGTCGACTAATTTGGGGCTTCCTTCGAGGTCGGAGTGCATCTGCCTGAGAGGCAAGGAACCAACATCTGCATACAATTAAGTCTGTTAAACGGATGTGAACGCAATACTCAGGTTCTGAAAAAAGACTATACAGTCTAGTGGTGGACAAACAAACAAGAACTTTCCACCGGAGTTTACATCCAGTGAGCGCGAAGAAGAAAAAGAGTTCTTCTGTTGACACCCCTAATTGTCATGACAAAAGATTGCCAAGAATCTTCCCACGTTGTTTTCTCTGTCTTTCTTTTCACAGATCTTTCCAGTTGTCATCTTTTCTTTTTCTAACCTCAAATGACATAGATTTATTGCACACGGTGTTTTTCATTTGATAAAATGCAACTTTGGCTTGTCCTATTCTATTATTATCTTTGTGATACATCTTCTATGTGATGTTATTCATGTGCATAGAAACTTAAATTTCTATACTTGTCCTAAAATAACGCCATTGATTTCAATTATACATTACGGCACCATTATTTTCTTGGAAATCTTCATTACTTGAGTCGACCTTAGTCTTTACATTATTCAAACTGCAAAAGCGTACAGAGACATTACATGCATCATGCAGAGGTCAGTAGTGCCACCGTAAACAGTCCGGCATCAGAAATATAGTGCATCATTATAATCATCGTAATTATACTGCATACATAACACTTGCCTTGCGGTTTATTCTTTTATTCCATTCTTCTTCTTCTTCTTCTTCTTCTTCTTCTTCTTCTTCTTCTTCTTCTTCTTCTTCTTCTTCTTCTTCTTCTTCTTCTTCTTCTTCTTCTTCTTCTTCTTCTTCTTCTTCTTCTTCTTCCTCCTCCTCCTCCTCCTCCTCTTTTCTCTACCCCCGGAATGTCTCTTTCCATTCTACCCTATGCAATTGTCTCTACCAGTACCGTTAACCTCTCTCATTTATGTTCGTCACATAGTTTCTTTTTGAAGCCACCCCCCCCCCCAACCCACCCACCCGAAATCGATTTGTTTTCCATTTCAGTGCCCGTTACGTGATTCTCTGTTCACTTGTACTCAGGATGTGCCCAGTATATCGTCACATTCTTTGCTTTATAACAGATGATACTAGCGGTTGCCCAGCCATTTCGCTGATATCCAATTTAATATACACCCGCCTCCTTAGACCAGTGGTCTCCAACTGTTTCAGGTCTCACTCCCCTTGAGTGTATGGTAAAATATCCACGTCTCCTCTGAGTGTATGGCAAAACCTTCACGCTTCCTCTGAGTGTATGGTAAGACACCCACGTCTCCCCTGAGTGTATTGTAAGACACCCACGTCTTCCCTGAGTGTATGGTAAGACACCCACGTCTCCCCTGAGTGTATGGTAAGACACCCACGTCTCCTCTGAGTGTATGGTAAGACACCCACGTCTCCCCTGAGTGAATGGTAAGACACCCACGTCTCCTCTGAGTGTATAACAAGACCTTCAAGCCTCCCCTGAGTGTATGGCAAAACACCCACATCCACTTGAGTGTATGGTAAGACACACACTCTCCCCTTGAGTATATGACAACACCTCCGCGCAACCTTGAGTAAATGACAACACCTCCGCACCACCTTGAGTATTTGAAAACACCTACGCACCACCTTGAGTATATGACAACACCTCCACGCCACATTGAGTATATGACAACACATCGGCACCGCCTTGAGTACACGGCAACACCTCCGCCCCGCCTTGAGTATATGACAAGACCTCAGCGCTGCCTTGAGTATATGGCGACACCTCCGTCCCGCCTTGAGTATATGGCAACACCCCCGCGCCGCCTTGAGTATATGGCAACACCTCCGTCCCGCCTTGAGTATATTGGCAACACCCCAGCGCTGCCTTTAGTATATGGCAACACCTCCGCCCCGCCTTGAGTATATGACAAGACCTCAGCGCTGCCTTGAGTATATGGCAACACCTCCGCCCCGTATTGAGTATATGACAAGACCTCAGCGCTGCCTTGAGTATATGGCAACACCTCCGCCCCGCCTTGAGTATATGGCAACACCTCCGCCCCGCCTTGAGTATATGGCAACACCTCCTTCCCGCTTTGAGTATATGACAAGACCTCAGCGCTGCCTTGAGTATATGGCAACACCTCCGCCCCGCCTTGAGTATATGGCAACACCTCCGCCCCGCCCTGAGTATATGACAAGACCTCAGCGCTGCCTTGAGTACACGGCAACACCTTCGCCCGCCCTTCCCCCCCCCCCCCACGTACATTGCAAGACCCTCACACCACTCCCCCCCCCCCCATGCCTTTTTTTCTTTTCTGTTTGGAGTATATGGCAAGACAGATGTAAGAAAATAGTTTCCGCAGCAATGTAGACAGAAATACGTGTCAATTAGAAGGAGTTCTTTAATCTGTAATTAAATGCTGGTGTTATCATATTTGTAGATTTCTGGTTCGAGACAACTGTCTTATGCATTTGTTTTCTAGTGCTGGTGTTATCATATTTGTAGATTTTTGGTTGGAGACGACTGTCTTATGCATTTGTTTTCTAATGCATTAACTTTTCTTCGTGTCTTTATAGGTGCTCCATTTTTCACAATTACATGTTAAAACATAAATAAACATAACATAACATAACCCTTGACCCATTAAAGTCGAAGAGGTGTATTGATGGAAGCACTAACGCATAAATCCAGCCATATTTCTCTGTCTTCCGCATGATGAATAAATGTATGATAACTTAGTCATGTCCATTTCTTGATGTTGTCATTCCAGTTTTTCTTTGCCATCCTCTTCTTCGACTGCACCCAATGTTCTTCGAAGCACAGTCTTTGTAATCGAATCATGTCTCACCACGTGCTTGAACCAAGAAAACATAAATACCACTACAACTGAAAATAAGTTAATTAGTCTTTGCTTTACACTATATAATGAAGAGTTCCATATTTTTGTTTCGGCTTCTAAATGATGCACTGAGAGCCTAGAAAGACTCAAGCTGGGAGCCATCTGTTATCTTGAATCAACATTGACGCACAGGCGGACGTTCCCATGATGCAGTGATCTCTCCGCGTTGCCTCTATGGACTGTTCAGACAAGGTGCTGGGTACGTCTCCTACCATAATTTCGAAGATTGCATAGAAGTGCTTCGCTAGGCTTTACTCCCAGGTCATCTAATCGTGTTACGTCAGATATTTGTCATTATCCGCCAGGCTAGTCCGTATAGGGTTGATGATATCAGTTCTATCCATTCTTTTTCCTTCATGCACTGGTACAGGACTTGCCAGCTTGTCCGCACTTACCACCATCATCATGATCGTCGTCGTCATCGTCATCATCATCATCACCGTGATGATCATACCATCATCATATCATCATCGTCATGATGCGTCCCATATTGAGAAGACATATTTTAATTAATAGTGTCTTTTTAAGTCACTGGGTATTATAAACACATCATCGTCATCATCATCATCAATGTCATCATCTTTATCTTCATGGGGAGAAACAATTTGCGGTCCAACACTCGACGGATGGTAACTTTGTCTACTATCATCCAGTTTCGATAAAAAAAACATAATTATGTTAAAGACAGAGCTGATTTTAACATATGGCTGTCCTCTTCTTCGATCCTTCTGTCAGAAAATGTATACCCGGAGGCCAGTGGTCCTAATGAAAGCTATCGTGCAATCTCCTCTATCATAAAGCTCTGTCTTGACTGAGGTTGGAACAGGCCAGACTGCTTCTCTTTTAGTTCCATACAGTTTGCAGTGTTGAAGTATATACTTAACATGAGTTGAGTTGAGTTGAGTCAAGAAATGACATCACAGCACTCGGGGCATTACCACATGGGCTCCATCCTCATCTTCAGCAGCCAGCACAGTTCCAATACATTGTACTTGTCACAGTCTGGTTATATGACCGTCTTGCTTTTTATCTGAGTGTAGTGAGCCGGCCAGACCCTCTGGTTACATCCAGGTGTCTCATTCTCTCCAGGCCATAATAATCTTGTTTCTCTACTGATTCTGTTACTTGTTCCCAAAGGGCCTTGACAGGCTGGAATATTTACCATTGTGGTACAGGAGACACATATTGTTGTGAATCCTGGACTATGAACAAACAAGTCAAACAATTTATTGAGACCTCAGAAATGTGGTTGTACAGAAGGGTGAATTCATTGGACAGTCAAAAAAAGAGTAACCCAGTTGTTTTAAATGGGGCGATGGCTCGAAGACCATTTATAATAAACATCAAAAAGAGACAGTCATTATGTTTGGTCATTTTATAAGAAGAAGGTAACTGGAACATGTGACTATTGGAAAGATCTATGTCAGAAGAGGCTGAGAGGGACTACACAAGACGATTATTGTAAGCCTTTTGTCATAACATGGAGGGATGAATTGAATTGACGTTCCATCCCTCCAGGACATCCTATCGAGCGGTAAACACCCAGTGACACAAAGTGCTACCATTCGGATGGGGAATAAACCGGGGGCAGGACACAGGCACCTTTTCAACATATAGACTGGGTTATATGAGGGCCCCGGCAACAGCCAGGGTGAAGCTTTAAGTTGAAGTAGTTGTAAAGATGTAGTCATTCATTCAGTAGCATGTCCCTCGCGGAACCTCGCTGCCATAACAACCCTCCGGAAAACCTTCCTATCCTGAGCAAGATGTCCTGCGTCTGATACACCCATCTGGAGATCATCTGCCACATCCTGCACCCATCTTCTCCTTGGCCTTCCTCTTCCTCTCTTCCCAGGCATATACCCCTCCATTATTGTTCTCTCTAGAATTCCATGACGTTTCAAGTGACCAAAATATTTCAATTTTCTTTGTTTTTTTGTCTTTACTAGCCAACCCTCTTCAATATTCAGCTCTTGAAGTATGGATGCATTTGTTCTTTTCTTTACCCAAGATATTCTTAGAACCTGTCTGTAACATTTATATTCAAATGCATTTATGCGCTGTTCCGCTTGTTTAGTAAGTGTCCAGGTCTCACAGGCGTATGTTGCAATGGGAAAGATGCATGCTCTTAAAAATCTGACCTTTGTAATTCTATCTGTACAATTCCATAATTTATTCAGTTGTTTTAGTCTTTGAAGAGCAATTGATAGTCGCCGTTTAATTTCTTTCATTGTGTCACCATTGTTGGTAACCAGTGACCCAAGATATTCGAAATTTTCCACCACTTCCAATCTTTCCTCATTAACATATATTTCCTTCTCCATGGCAGTTTTGTTTGTATGCATTATCTTTGTTTTTGCTATGTAGTAGTAGTAATTTCTGGGGTTTGCGCCCTTCCTTTTCAAATCAAAATAGTGTCTTGAGTGAGATTCAAACCGACCAGGACATCCATCAAGCGATAAACACCCGGTGACACAAAGTACCACCATGCGGATGAGGATCACCCAGGGAGAGGTTACAGAAACTCCGTTCAACGGCTAAGTTATATTATGGCCTGCGACTATAGACGGGTGGGGTTAAAAAATCAACGAAAAAAATGCGTCCAATTTTATTTTTTTAAAAATTTTTTAAAGTGTTTATTATAAATGTATGCAGCGCTGATTAATGGATGAATTAACGAGTTCTCTATGAAATGATGAAACAGAAAATGTCACATAAGATCTGCTAAATAAAAACCCAAGCTGATATGGCAATTTAAATAAGCAAGCGCTCAATGTTGCGCTGAATTGACTGTCTCTGATTTCTCAGCTGAGACCCTTCCTTCTGTATGACTGAGCAGGCAATTACAGGACGTGACACAGACTGACTGACTGACTTTCTACCCCACTAGGACATCACACAAGCGATAAACACCCGATGACACAAAGTGCCACCATGCGGATGAGGATCGCCGTGGAGAGGTCCCAGAAACCGCGTTCAGACATTTGGCCATATGTATGGCCTGCCTATATTGCGGCACTGGCAAAAGCCAGAGTAGGGCTTCAAATGACAAAAAATTTCGTCCTGAAAAGGACGAAACTGGATAACGTGACACACCACAAGCTCTTCCCAAAGCTTGTTTTGATCGAACGAAAATATACGGTACGTTTTTGTCCTCGCATAACAGGGGCAGGTGCAAGAGAATTTCAATTGGCTCCGCATCTGCTGTTAAAACAATAAATTCTGCCTGTCCTCGATTCAGTGTTGTAGTGGCTTCATTGGCCCCTCTTTTCAGCTGCTTATAATTGGAAGCTTGCTGTACAAGTTCCAAAATCTGCTTCGTCAGTGTCTGATCTGCCAGGGGGTACGCTTTGCTGCTTATTTCTTCAGCCATCGTTGTTAAGTAGTCTTTAAATTTTAAACAGATGTCTTTTTATTTTAACAACCTCGATGGACTGTTCAAACCAAGCTTGAATTAACGTTACCGAATACCAACATGCGTCCCATAGTGAAACGACAGATTTTATTTACTAGTGTTTTTGGATCACTGTGGGTTAATCACGGCCACGGTATTAATCATTTAGATAGCAACACTAGAGAGGTGGGGAATTTAAAACAATATATATATATATATATATATATATATATATATATATATATATAGAGAGAGAGAGAGAGAGAGAGAGAGAGAGAGAGAGAGAGAGAGAGAGAGAGAGAGAGAGAGAGAGAGAGAGAGAGAGAGAGAGAGAGAGAGAGAGAGAGAGAGTGCGAGAAATAGGATGGCAAGAGAAACATAGCAGTAATAATTTTTCAACAATCAAAAAATTTCCTGTTAAATCCCCATTGTTATAATTGAGATATATATAGTGTTCAATGAAAAATCGAGAAATGGAAGGGAAACCACTCCCGCTCACTTTTGAGTGTCGACTGCTAGAAATTGCAGACGATCTGAGCAGACATTTGTAACAATGATCTAGTCCAGAATCCAAAGAGACAATGTGCAGGCCTCACTGGTCCACATATTTGATGTTGCACAGATATCCACAACACAAGGTGGCTGCTTCAGTTGATATTGTCAGACACTGAAATTTTCCAAATTTTGTGTCAGGTAATTTTGGGGCTTTTAGACCCGAGGACTGTCGACATTTAAAATTGTAGAAAAAGGGTCTAGCGTGTGATTGCAGTTGAAGATGGTAAGTAACAAAATAATGGGACGCCAGTAATATTGCATTATTGCCAATAATACTCTGTAATCATTTCTGTCTGACTGTTAGTATAAAAAATAGACGGTATGAATACCTGGTACAGTATTAGTTCTAAGCCAATGACTCTTTTATACTGAATGTTGAATCAAGAATCGACATCATAGCACTCGGGACACTCCCATAAGCGCACAGTCCCTATCTTCAGCAGCAAACGAAGAGTTTTAATTTCGATGGCACTAATAACTGACTGTGTATCCGTCTCGCGTTTCTCTTGAGTGTTGAGCATCGGCCAGACCGCCTGGCAACTCCTCGCAGCGTCATTCTCCTCAGACCGTAATGATCTTTTTGCGCTTCCGCACTGTTCACTCGCTCTCAGAAAGCCCTAACAACATCTAGCTTGCTCTATTTTATTCAGACTGTACATATAGCCTTTTGTGCATTTTTTTAAAGAAAAAAAAAAGGGTGCAATACTTATCAAAAAGTGTCAACAAAGGTGCCGGTACTCACCCCGAATTATCTCTTACAGTAGTACTCAACAATTGACGCTTCCCAAAAATGTGCCGAAACTGCATACTGTTACATCATCATCATGTAGCAGGTCCTTTGCAGAACGTCGCTCTCATCACAGTCTGCCTGAAAGAAACTCGGTCTCGCCAGTTCTCTCGCCTCATTACTGTTGCATACA